TAACTTTTCAGATGCTAGAGCAGCAGACACTAGACATAGGCTGTAATTAGTATTGCTGCAGAGAAAAAGAATCTTTGTTTTTTTTTTTCTTTGTGAGTTACTCTTTGATAATAATCCCACATTCATCTGGCTGTTTAGCTTTTTGAGGCAGTAATTGGCACTACAGTATCAGCTATAAAAAATACAAAGATCTCTGAGTTTATAAATAATGTTGTTAATCCAGAGATTCCTTCCATTTTAACTGGCCATCCTATAGGTATCAATGTATCATCACAAATAATTCTTGTACTTAATTCATCATAAATACTTACTGTATTAAATCCTTATCAGACTTTACCTCATTTGTTTGTTTTAAAATTCTTACTGATAAAACAAATGGCCAGGTTATATACATGTGGGTTTTTTGCCCTACGTTTTCTCTAATCAGTGTAAATGTACACAACCAATTTCTCAGCACTTACACATCATGTTTCTCTGGGGCCACAAAACTGCCCAACTTCTGACACTGTTGAGCTGCTCTGAACCCTGTGAGATTTCCTCCTGGTTTCTTAAATGAGATAGATACACTGCTGCTTACAAGCACTGTGGGGAATGATTCAGGTGAGCTCTGCTTCTGCATATTTACCAGGCAAGAGCCTACCCAAAGAAGGGTAGAAAATGTCATAACCCACCAGCTTTGATCCCTAGAAGGCTGGCTGCCTGTTGGATTACTGCCTTGTCCTCATGCCTGTCTTTCCTAATCTCCCACTGAAGCTCTTCCAGTGGGTGTTAACAACCGCTCACTGAATCAAAATTCAGTGCTGACCCGGGTGACTTTGATCTTTGCTCCTTGCTTGCTATTAACCATGTACTTCTTTCTCCGCCTAACCTGGGCGGCCTGCTCCATGCTCAGGGCTGTGGGTGGCGAGGGGAGCGTGAAGGGAGCTGAGGGGAGACGAACGAGTGCTGAGGGGAGACGAGCGAGCGCTGAGGGGAGCATGAAGGGAGCTGAGGGGAGACGAGCGAATGCTGAGGGGAGCATGAAGGGAGCTGAGGGGAGCCAAGCGAGCGCTGAGGGGGAAGCATGAGGGGAGCCGAGCACTGAGGGGACCCAAGTGCGGAGGCTCACGGAGGTGGGTTTCTTCCCCAGGCACAGGGAAGCTACAGGCATATTCTTGGCGCCTGGCAATGTCAGCGCAGTCAGAGTTTTTTGGACTCTTAATGTGTGGTCTGAAGAGAGCAGAAAGGATAAACACAAGATTTTTATTACTAAAGAATGTGTCACACTTAAAAGGAAAAATGTTCTCATATTTTTTTCCCACCATTTGCACAGCCATAGATGATGATGATGATTGAGATTCTTTGTATAACTTTGATTTCCTATAATCAGCTGTTACTATGATGTCTCTGAATTAATAATATCTTCTGAAAGTGCTCACTTCACTGTCTTGGCTTTTATGTAGCTACACTACACCTTGTCACAGCACCGTATTTATTATTCAGAAGGAAAAGCAGTGGCACATGAAAAAAATGCCTGTTCAAGTAAGTCCCAAGGGACTTCTCTGATTCCTAAAAGAATTCCTGTGCGGTTGGCTGTGGGTTGGCTCCCTGATACAGGCAGGTCCTTGCTCCTTTTCTGTTCTTCTTGCCTAATCTTCTTTTTGTTCCACAAGCTTTGCCCAGCTTAAGTGCGCTTTGGTTTTTCCAGCCAAGATGCAAACACTCTTCCTCTGCCCAGAACTCCTGATAGAAGCAATCTGCAGAGGCCAAGATGAGGGAGACAGGCAGCCTTGCGATGGCCAGTTCCCCCTTTTGAAGTTAGTTCACAGCTAGTTACAATTTCTAAGCAATATTTTTGAAGCAATACTATAATACTTATGGTCTGCTAAATGACCCATATTCAGCTTGGAAGTGTTTGTTTTCAAGCTTATTTTGAATTGCAGATTGATAGCTAATGACATAGCACTGAGGTAACAAATAAGATGGAATTATTCCATTAGTTAATGAGTGATATAGAGTACCTGACTGAAAATACAGAATTTCTACCTACCTTTCTTAACTTTCCTAAAGCTTTTTTCTAAGTTTCTTAAAATAAATGAAAAATGGTTGTCTAAAGAACGACACATCAGAATTTAAATTGTTTCTAAGTTTTCTTAGTGTGTTGTAAAGAGCCAGGATAAGCCTTATCACTTCTTTCCCTGCATGGCAGTACGCAAACAAGCTGCTTTCTTCTGCTTTGTGACCTGCCATCTCCTACATAGGTTTGTTTTTTTTCCTTTAGATTGAAATCTCAGGAATCCTAATGAGAAAAGTGATCCATCTTTTCTTTAGCAGAAAAAAAAAATGGGGTGCTGTTTGTAGTCACTGAATACTGAAAAGGGAACTTGATTTTTTTAGTTTATTTTTCTAAGATCACTTTTACCTCAAATGTATCTTGTATCTAACCAACACCTATTAGCAGGTAAGCAACTTTGGTTCTATTCTACTTGAGGAATGTTTGTATTTTGTTTTTGTTTTCCTTCTCAATTATTTTTCTAGCTGTCTGTCTCAAATGAGTTTGTAGTCATTTCATTCGAATATGTGTGGTTTATAATTGTTCATTATCATCTGTTAAAGTACAAAATAAGTAGTGCTATGTAGTATTTAGTGAACTTAAAACCATGTGCTTCAAAAGAAGAATTTGAAAAGTTTTGGATAAGTTTCCTTAAGTACATTGATCTTTTAGGCTAAGTTGTATAAAGAAGCTTGGATGTGATTCTAGACAGCTGTGCAAAACCCATAACAAGCAACAGTAATAAGAAAACAGCACGTGAAAGATAGATACAGCGAAAATTTTAACATATTGAGTTCATAGCATATGATAGTTTGCCCGTAATTACTTTAAAAATGGCTACAAACTCCTTCATGAGTAAAATTGTCTTGCTGCCACTCTTTTTTTTTTAAAACTTTGATGATATTGTGAATTTTATGAACTAAACTGTATCATTTGGTCATTAGCAAATTTTCAGTGAAAATTCAAAATCCAAAGGATTGAAATAAATTTAAAATATATGTATTAAAATTAAGCCTATATTTTCTTTATGCTCTTAAGAGAAAACTTTCCATAAAAATATTTATTGAAGAGCAAAATTTGCAAATAAGGTTGATTAAGCGCTTTCCGTTTAACTTGTTTTGTTGCAAAATGAGAGAATAGAAACCCACCAAATGTTGGATTTCCAAGCAGACGGGCACAGCTAATTCAACTCTCCTAGGCATATGGTATATTTTTAATAACGTCACGGTGTACACTTTTTCCATGCCCTGTCTCATTCAGTACTTGTCAGGAAAACAGGCCAGAATTTACTTTCTAAATTGTCATAAATCTGAAAGTTTCTGATGCATGTGATTGACCTTGTGGTATAAATTGCGTCTGCGAGAGAAGAGTTTTCTGATGACTGTCTCCAGTTAGACACTGGCAGCGCTGACGCTATTAGGAAACCTACTTCAATTTGTTTATAACATGAGCCATTCAGGTTGGGTTTTACACACCAGATTTCTGCCTCAGGCTGATGATTTTTTGCAAATGTCAGTTATAATGATTCTGCCATTTCTGTGAAACAAGCTGGGGAAAAGAATATTTTCACCGTTAATTTTTTTGGGGGGGTTATTTGCATGTATTCTAAATGGAAACTTTTTTAGAGCAGCTGTGTATCTGCATAGCAAAGATGTAAAGGATTGAAAATTTGGCATTTTATTAGGAAAATACTGGGAGCTTTATCCAGTAAAACTCAGGCAAAATTGACCATTGATAGTCTTTAAAAAAAAAAAAAACTCTTCACATGTTCTATAGGAGCTAAATCCACACTTTTGATCATGTCACATCCCTTAAGATATTTACCACCTCCTATGCGCTTGTGAGACGCTTAGCGCCAGGCAGAGTGTGAACGTGTCGCCTTCCCGGAGCCTCCCAATGTCCTGTGGCCTGTCGCTGTTGGGCTGTACTTCTTCCTAACGCCCCGTGTGCCCAGGGCACAAGCCTCATCCCTCCGCTCCTGCTTCCACATTGGGCAGTGTGGAAGAAGGTTGGATTGATGGAACATGAGAGGAGACTAACATCAGTGAGGGCATGGGGAGAGGGTTAGATGGATATTCCTTACTAAAGGAATATTCATGTATGGAGATGGAAGGAGTTCTCCATTAGAAATGGTCCGGGGAGGTCATGTCTGAACATGTTGCCAGAGCGGTAAAAGATGAGCTGTTCCCTGTCAGGTACGTGCTCCCAGAGCAGAAATTGGGAAGTTTCCTGTGTGCAGGTGAGAAGCCAAATCCCTTGTAAATGAGCCTAATGAATATTAGAGCATGTTTTAATTGCACAGAACAACTAAACGACTATGGAAAGTGTCGCTGTTCCCATTCCTGACTTCCCAGAGACCCCTCGCTTTGGCTCTGCTGCCGTGTGTTGCTGCGATGGGAGAGATAAGGGAGGCTGACAAAGCAGTCATCAGAGACTCGCTGCCATCAGCGTGAGCCTTACGCGATGACAGGAGTTGTTAATATTTTAAGGGCTGCCACCCATCCCTGCAGGCGCGCACGTGCTACCTCGCTGTGCGGAGGGGCAGCCATCCATAGATGCCACACGCTGGAGGGGGGCGGAAGGCGGCTCTCCTTTGCCGGTGCTGAGGGACTGCCTGCAATTAAGGAAGCCAGGTTTCTCTCCCCTCAGCAAAGAGACCTCGTTGTGAGCGGGGAAACAGGGCTGTCTTATCAGGCAGCACCTCTGGGTTTGTGTCATTGTAGGATTTCTTTGCCAGGTGGCAGTGGATTTGTTTAGAAGAAAGTAAGTGTTGCCTGCAGCTGGAGAATGCTGTAATCTGATGGAGTGGGAAAGAAACACTTTAATTTGACCTGATTTTTATTACAGCCAACACAGGGAAATGCGGAGCCACATAATCCTTGATAATTTCAGGGATCGGTGAATAAATAATAGCGCGTGTCTCCTTGCCCTGAGCCCTCCTGACTGCTCCGCGCTCCTTTCGATGCAGGGCCCAGCCTCCTCTCCCAGAGCGCTCTTCAGCTCAACTCCAAACCCGAAGGCTCTTTCCAGTACCCGGCCAGCTACCACAGCAACCAGACCCTTGCCCTGGGCGACTCGGCGGCGGCGCTCCCGGCGCGCAGCGCTCAAGGCAGAGCGGCCATCCAGAGCTACAGCCAGGTATGTGGCCCACGCGGCGCAGCTCGCTCGCCCCGGGAGCGCTGGGGAGAGCGCCCAGACAGCAGAGCTCTCTGGGGCTCTGCCCACTTCGCGGCGTTTGCCGCTGCTTTTCGTCTCGATGGAGAGCAGGGCTGAATTACCACCCTGATGGCTGTGAATCTAAAGCTGCCTGACTTGTTTGGGGTGAGAGAGTGCTGATTCGGCAGGAGATTTACATGCCAGCTCTGCTTTGGTGCTTCAATATTGACTTTGTTGATCAAATGCTTACGCACTGAGGTTTGAAACTTTGTATTACTGTGCTGATTAAAAGCCTTAATTAAGGACCAGGACCCCACTGTGTTGATGCCTTGATATGATGGAAAGTGCTGAAGTGGTAGTGAACCACAACAAAGCTAGGGTGGCAACAGATGCACAGTCTGCTTAGGATGCCATACGTAGCCTGGTGCCAGGGCCTGACTCCTTTTGGAAGAATCACTTTTGCCTTGTTTTCCCATATTGTAATACAAACAACTTACCAGACAGTCGTGCGTGTTTCAAACATCTTGGATTTTTTTTTTTCGAATACTCCTGAAAACTTTATAAATCTCTCTGCTTGTTAAAGGGATTCTTCCGAGCTGCAGCTCTCACCTCCTGTGCTTTTCACCGAGAGATCAAAGCCTCTCACTGGAAAGTTAAGCTTCAGTTTAGACAAAAATTTCTAGATGCATTCATGCTCCTGCACATAAGCAAAATCTGGTTGAGTTTTACTGGTCAGTTCAGGTTATTTTCTCTTTTTAGAACTTAACAGCCATTAAAGCAGGCTGTCTCAGTGTGATACTGGGACATTTTATAAATCAGGATTCTTTAGAAGTGAGTTATATTTGAATTTCAAAGCATTACATTGCTAAGAGAATTCAAGTGTTATATAGTCATGGCGCAGCTTGTGGGATACCAGGAGAGATGCAACTTTCATTCTATTCACTCAGTTTGCTCAGAAAAGCCCCCTATCCTTAAAGACTGCAAAATGAAATAAAGCACGGTTAAATTTCATTTCAAATTGATTACATATTTTTTATTTTTCCTCTATGAAGGGTTTAAAATGAGACTGTGTACTAGTAAGACCCTCAGGGTCTTTCTGTGTTTACCAAAGAAGGCTTCCCTGATGTTCTTGATGGGAGCCAGCAGGAGAGCAGGACTCCTGGAGACAGAAAAAGGAGGCTCCGATACCCACTTGTAGCCCGGGCAGATGCCATCAGCAATTGTCATCTACAAAAAGCACCATCCCCTGGGGATTAGCTTGTAAGGCTGGGATGCATTTTTCAAAGCGGCTAGAAAAAGTAAGATGATGGGAAGGGAACAGGTATGCTTAGAAGGTAGGTTATGGGAGCACCAGGAGAAGGAGGGGGTAGGGGGGGAAAGGAGAGAGGGAAAAAAAAGTGGCAGGAAGATGGAAGTAAGATGTGGAAAGGAAAGTGTGTGTGCATTTCCTCCAGATTGCATGATACATGTTTACACAGGGAAGTAACTTGCAGAATGTACTAAATAATATCGTACATTAACATCCTGCAAAGGAGGCTTGACAATTGAACTGTTTCTTGAAAATTTTAGCAAATTGCCTTATAAACTATAATACCATAAAATATATAAAGAAGGTTTTATAAAAGATATTCAACTGAAGGAAGAGGGAGAAGTCTGTTTAAAAGTTCTGAACGTGACCATTTCTGGTACAACATTGAAGAAGACTGGCAATCCTTGGAAGTGTTTTGCTATCCCTGTTATAATTAAAACAAGCCTCAGGAGCATAACTCCACAGATTGTGCCAATTTTCTTTGGTATTTATGTGCATGGCCTAAAACTATCTCTGAACGTGAACGATAGCCTAAGTGCATGGGAAAATATGTAAATAGTCCCAAGGCCAGTTGACAGCAAGAACAATTTCTGAAAATGCAACTGTGGTTTTAAAAAAAAAAAAAAAAAAGAAAAAAAAAAAAAGAAACTACGTAGTCTTGGGACTTCCTGTATAGTGCTGCAAAGTGAGGTCTCACATTTTTGTCCATTTGGAGGACTTCATTATAGATCATAGCTTTTCTACTGCTTTGAATACTTTAGAACACAAAACTTACATTTCAGCACCACTTGGAAGGTAAAACATCCTAGCAAGAACTGCTCCTGTGGCTCAGAATTGTTCTGTTTCCTAGCCGAAAACAGTTTTTCAAACTTGGTGTCCAAATCCTGATACATCCTATATTTACCAATTGAAAGGTTTTTGTTTGGTTGGTGAAGAGAATAATGATTTTATTACAAAAACCTTTGGAGATGTGGTGATCCTGCATATGAATTACTCAAGGTGAATAATCTGTTTGAACAACAGAGGTTGGTGGACAACTGGTTGGTTTTACTCTCAAGAATGGTCAACTTACATTGCAGATACAGGAATATAATGCATGGTTTGCTGCATGTTCTGCCATGCATTTGCAAAAGGAGAAGAAAGGAACGCCAGTTTACATTTCTGAGTACATTTATCTCAGCCTCTGCTGTCTTTTCAGAGGCTGAGGTAGCAGCAGAGATTACTGGGTATTATCCTCGCCTCCTAAAGCTTCTGGGCTGAATGAGCTGGTACAGATTTTGACCACCCTTAAAACCAAAAGCAATTAGAATGTAAAGCTTTATTTTTTCTTTTTAATTTCCATCTTCTTTTTTTCCTGTAATCATGTCATGAGTTTGTCATTCATCAAACGGCCACATATCACTAGCTCTATTTATAATATTAGCTAATGTATCCTAGTGTCCAGTTGTCAAGCAAAATACATACACAGGCCTTTTTCAATTGGAGGAGGCTTCATCCTACCGTGAGTCATCTGTGCTGCAGGTGGTGGGCCACTTGTTACTCCATGCAGACTAAATATGAGCTAATGATTTCACATTGGCCTTGGGTCAGATTTAACAGAAGAAGTTAATGAAAGAATGAATTTGGAAGACGATGAAAATTCATTGAAATGAAAAATGGCTTCTGAATATGAATATGAGAACTTTTCAGTCATTAAAGGAGGCAGATGAAATCTTAGGGCACAGTACTCTTAACTATAGACAATTCACTAGTAGAGTTTATGTTAGTGCAAATGTTTGATCCTGCAATAGGTGATGATTGCAGCTTTCTTTGCTGCTTTAAAACTCTGAGTGACCATCTCTGGATGCTTTTAAAGGATCTCATACAACACTGTTTATGGATGTGGCTTGTGATGGTGTTACTTCCCTTCATCCACGCATACATCCTTTGAGATGAGGGTCAGGCTGGCTGACATTTTTCCCTAATAGATCTGGGGTGTATTTTGCAGAGTATAGAGATGAGTTTGCCCTGACCATAACTTTTGGGCGAGAATCTGGATAGAATAGACCATATATGAGGGATTCAGAGGTGCATTACATGAGTGCGTTTTGAGTATAGGTGGGACCTTACTACTTGGGTCGGGGTCTTGTCAATGACAGCAAAACGTTCTGCAAAGAAAGGTCCTTAGCTATAGGAAGTTGTGTTTCATGCAGATGAGACTTCTGATTTGTGTGGAGGACTGGAGAATCAAAACACATTGTAGTCATTGAAAAAGAATTTCTGTGAAATACCTGCAACTGGCACTTGTCCAGGTAAATTGAAAGGCAAAATCCCGTCTTTGGAAATGAGATGCCAGTCTTGGAACTATTGACAGACCAATATGAAGCTCGTGTTGCCTATATACTTATGAAAAGGCAACTTGATGGGAGTACAAAGGTACACGTCCTCAGGGATCTAAACCAATACAAGCCATCCCCTGCATCCATTTAGCTGATGACATTTTCCTATAAAATCGATTATCTGTGTTTGTAAAGAAGGTAGAGAATAAGAAGGATTACTGGAGAGGAAGAAGTCAGGAGAACAGTTCATTGCTTCTGTCCTTTAAATGGTGCTACTCAAGGACTGAGGTTTGCATCGCTGAGTAGAGACTCATAAGCATTACTGTATCTTCAATTTGTTCTTTGCAGAAGAGTGTTAATAGAGGGTTTGGATCAGAGGAGGACTCTGTATCTTGAGTGAAAACATGATGGTTCTTAGAGAGAAGAGAAAAAAAAGCCCTCGGCAGACTGAGAAGTGTTGCAGTCCTGAACACTGCACGAGCAGAGAACCTGATTCTGTTTGTGAGAGCCAGAGATCACTTGTGTCTCTCAAGCCTCTAGTGAGGCTGATAAAAGTACCATGCCAGAGGCTGGCAGCAACCACAGGCAGCCAACACAGAAGAGTTGCAGCAACTGGAGCCATGTCTTGTTTTTGGGCTTGTAGATCCCGTTTGTGAGGCTCTGCCAGTTGTACTGGGAGAAATCATTTTCCTTAGAACCTGTGAATCACAAAATGCACAAAATCAACAAGTTCTTGCTTTCACATTTTGGCCTGCTTAAGAAGAAAATGGGTTTTAACAGATTTTAGATGATGAGCACAAATAAATCTCAGATGTGTGCGTAGGAATAGGCACAATACGCACATGTGTGTAGTGCATTCCTAATGCTCAATTTGTGCTCTGCAATTGCTTTTCAATATTTGGTGGTCTTCCACACTGCTTTTCCATCTTGGAGCAGTCTCCAGGAATCAAAATATAATTTCACTGCACTGATATTTCAGTAATTAACAGCTGACCCCAAACCTTTGCTTCTGATGTTTAGCCATCCAGGATTTTGTATCTCCTTGTCTATGAATAATTGTCAGCAGGATAGAGGATTCATACAGCTATTTGTCCATCTTAATTCCTCTTCGTAAAATAGAAACCTTGTACCACAGTGCCTTTCACTTGATTGTTTTCAACAGAAGTTCTGGTTTTAATCAAAATTTGATTAAATAGAAGTTGTATGAAAAAAAGGCTTATGTCCTAAAATTTAGTGCATAAACATGCAATGATGGTGGGCACACGAGCTAGAATAACTTAATGGATGGCCTCCATAATATTG